AGCAGATCAAATCAACATTTGGACCGAACAGTTAGTGTAACGTGTAGAAAAACTTGCAGTAACATGTTGCAGTTTGAATGAATTTTGAATCGAATCGATTTCAAGCTGTTCAGTGGTATGATGCATGGTATTTTATACAGTCAATAGTAAGCTAAATTTACCACACTAGAAAATACGTGATATGATGGATGATCCACATTTGGAAGCGAAAATATTGCATCGAGGCTGAGCACACACACACACGTCGAGTAAAGTTTGAAATAAGTCCTTTAATGCAGCAGCTCATTTGCGAAATAGCTATAAAAGTACTCAAATAGCCATTTATTGTCGGATTTGTGACATTATCTCGATATCCGCCACATTAAAGCTAGTATTGCAAATACTGTGCCAACCAATTCGAATCATAAAGTCTGTCATCATAATCAAAGCTGATGGAGCCTAATAAAAGCGCCTATACTGAAACGAACACCTTTTCATCTCAATTTGTTGAGGTTTCGTGAAATTGTCCAAATTGTTGTGTATATTGTAGCAATCATGTAGCCCATAGATGCATTTCATAGTTGGAATTATTTTTAAAGTATATCGAGTTAATATAAATATTGGTTGAATAATAATTACAAATCAAGATCAAAAAATGTGTGCATGAATTATTTCAACATTGAAACATTATTGTGTTGTTCAGTTGTAGTCGAAGAAGTTGTGCGCCAATTTGCATCCAGCTCATTCAAAATGTACGAAAAAGACGATATACAGATTAGAAGTGATTTCGGCGGTTTCAATAAGATTTTCAACTGAATCTCCATTCTTAGATTGGTTTGTGGTTACTTGAGAATCAACAGAAGAACATTCCATTGCCTTGAATCAAATTCAATCTATGCTTCCCATACATTGCGATTTGATGGTGCAGCACCGAAGACTTATTTTGCGGTTCTTGTTTTTTTTTTTGTTCAAAACAAATGAAACAACGTTGAGGGCAAAAGTCTTCGAATACATCATCAAGAAACCAAATTAATAACAATAAAATATTGAATGATCCAAACACAGCACGAAGTTTAGTCGGGCATTGAATTCAAGGAGAAGCAGCTTATCCGGTTTTGTCTGCTACGCATTCGATAGGAATGCTCTCGGAGATTGGATAATAATTTGCTTTTGTTGGTGGCTAAAATTCGATTCACTGGCTCCTTTGTCGATGATATCGAAATCCATGTGTGTATGTGTATTATGACTTATAGAGCGCACCTAGTGCTCCAATTTCGGGTGCGATGAACCACAGATGACGCACACATAAGAAACCACAAACAGTTCATAACAACTTTGTTTGTTCACAAGTTATTGCAATTTAAAATTGAAAAGTTAAATAAATCTGAGGCAGTGCAGTAGCAGCAGCAGCAGCAGCGGCAGCAGTAGCAACATGCATGCACGCATCTGCATCTATGTCATTGAAGTTTATTATTACACCGCAATCCGAATTGGAGACTACGTATCAAATGGCAAACACATAACCGGCACACATCCAAATTCAGCCCGAAGCAGCAGGAGCATTTGAGACAACAATTTGTACGCTCGTTACGAAATTGTACGCGATTATTTATCGATTCGAAAAACATAAACAAAGTATTCGAAACCGATTTTAGTGTTTTGGGAGAGAGAGAGAGGGGAGGGGGAGAAAGAGGAATATGTGTATGTGAGGGAGACATGATGCATCGCAACTTGGCCTCATATTTCCCTTGTTTTGGCATCTGTAACCCATTTGTTGTATAGATTTCATGCATTAATTCATTCTAATGTGAAATGCAGCGAGACTGCAGGTGCAAGCAAGACTTCGTGTTGGTTTTTCTGTTTTATTCACTCCATCTCTTTCTCTTTTCCTCTCTCTTTTCCCCTCTGTTGTTGCCGTCTCACATAATTTGTAGACAAAGTTTTCGATGGCACATTCGCTTCGGATCACGCAACGCACATAAATAAATTATGTTGGAAAAATTTTCATGTATGGACCAACCGCAATGATAATTTCATTTTCTCTCCCTCTCATATCACTCGCTCTCTACGAATTAGTTGTCGTTAAATGTGGAGCGGCGCACAAGAAATACGGCGTGTTGGCTGGCGAAATTTTTTTGTGTCAATTTGCTTGTGTTGGACGCTGCATTTCCGGCGATTTTTCTCAAGCAGGATGCAGAGTTTTTCGTGCTAGTTGAATTATTATTAAAAGTTTTTTAGTCTGCTTGCTATAGGGAGAGAGAAAAATTGTCGTCCGAACACAAACGCTTCCATATTTTACGAGACTTGCAGCAGATAGACGAAACATTGGAACAAACAACATTCAATCCCTTTGACGCATATTAAATTTTCACATTGCAACGTGACCTCAACACATTTCAGCTTCGTGTTGTATGCACCTTTTGTTAGGCCTTTATAAATTTATTTAACAATCATTCCGTAGTCTGCAATACGCTTGCGAGAGAGAGAGAGAAAGAGAGAGAGCGAACTGTGATAACAGCGTTGCACTATGTACCCAGTGCATACGACACGGATGCCCATTAGCAGGACTGCTGTTTTTTTGCTTCGGTGCTTTATTTAGTCGAAAATGGTTGCATCCACCGAAGAAAAAAAAATCAATTTTTCAATAGTTCTGTTACAATTTGATTTTACAAAAAAAAAAACGTTGTAAAAATTGGACAATTGAAAAACATCTAGTTTTTAGTGGGTGCACAATGGTCACGAAGAACAGTGATAAAGGCAATAACATTCCAAAATATGGTCACAGTCAATTTGCGCATTTCTCTCAACACCAAGAAGCCAGTTTAAATCGCATTGACGTGAAAAATATGCTTAAATATATTGTTGAAATGCTAATTAAAAAATTCATCACGTTTCCATTGTGAGCTCTCACACGGAAAATGGTTACGCGAGCAAAATGCTGTTTCCGTCTCACGTTCACCGTCGATTTTTTCTCTCTCTCTCTCTCTCTCTCTCTCTCTCTCTCTCTCTCTCTCTCT